CTGGCAATCAGCGAGGAGAGGTCAGAATGGTTCCTGTCATCAGAAATGAAACAGGGTTTCCATTTCCCTCCCCCGAGGGGTGACAGACTTCGGTGCCCAGCTCTCCATCTCTGGGTTTCAGCTCAATTAAACAGCAGAGTCAGCCTGCTGCCCTGGGCGGAAACACAAGTTTAGTACATTTGATCACTTCTAGCTTATTTGGAACAGCAATCTGGATTTTAAAAAACAATTAAGATGAGTTAACCAGCCCTCCACACTGTCTTTGGAGATACAGTCTGTCCTAGGGTAAGGCAAAAACATTCTCTCTTTGAAGTCAGCTAACACAAGAATACAGCAAAATGGAATTGGTCACCAGATCAGAGTTTGAAAACAACGTTTACAACAAAGAACATTTTACGGCAACTGGTCTATCAAAGCAGTGAACTCAAAGAGCTGAGTTTCACTTCAGACACCAAGTTTGCAGCCATGGAATCCAGGATCGATCAGAGCAAATAGCACACCTGCACACAGTCCAGGCAATGTCTCCCGCAGATGACAATATCTGCATTTTTCACTGAAGTTAGTGTTTTGAAAAGGTGGATATATAAATGAACCTAGACGTGCGCTTAGACCAGGGGATTCAAAATTTTTAAATGTATGAAAATCCACGTTATAGCCTTGCCAAGTCAAAGTCCCTCCACCAGATAAATTTCACCTCTGTTGGGAGGGTGTGCATGTGCATGGGGCTTGACAATATCTTAACCCTCATCAGTATCCTCAGTGTGGGAACAGGGAAGCGAGGGAGCTTTTAGGAGAACTGTGTCTTGGGTTGAACACAATTAGGAAGTGAGGAGGCTGATGAATCCACCACCACCAAATGCTCAAGCACTGAGAACAAGCTCTTCAGAATTTTTGTCATTGGTAACCATGGGATTAGTAACTTGGCCCCTATTGTGAGTGATTGTGTGTGTGTGTGTGCATGCATGTGTGCATGCATGCACACACATTAAGCAGACTAAGAGAACAGAAATAAAAGATTCCAAACAGTTAATTGCCCAATTAGCTGTCCTTGCAATTATGGGAATGTGACATTTAGTTCAAAACACAATGATTGGTTAAATTAAATTGCCCATTTTGAAAGTGTCTTCCTGGTTCAGTCGCCATGCCAACTGGTTCTGACAGTGGTGCCCTCACTTTGAGAAGCAGGAACAATGGTCTCCCTCACGCCAAGCCTGTCTGCTTTCTTAATTAACAAAGTTGAAACCTGCGAGGGAAAGGGCTGTGGTTGGGAGCTGCGGGCTCAGCTAGACTCCCTTTTCAGTAATTTCTCAGGCTTGAGGGTGGCCTGCCTGGCCTCTGCATCTGAGGAAATATTGCAGAGAGAGGCAGGGCAGGGCCAGCCTGACTGATCAGGGATGTTGTTGTGCAATCAACCAAACGTCTCTGTTCAAAGCAGGGTGGTGTATAGGTGAAAATGAAAGACAAGTGAATATGAGCAAAATCTCAGGTTCTAGATTCAACAACATCACTGATGGAAGTCTAGCTGGATTCTTACCAGCATCTCCCACTGGCATCCAGAAATCCCAAAGGAGACAGAACCTGAACACATTCCTTCCTCCTCTTTGTTTGCAAGTATCCGGACTCATGGACTGAACTGCTCGCCCACCCAGGGCCCATCTCCAGGACGCATAAGAACCTTGGTATTTTTTTTGGCTTCCTTCCCCCTGGCATCATGCCCACCCACTGACCACCCATAAAGAGAGCACAAACTGAACACAATGGGGCCCCTGCTGTTCCCACAGGCATCATTTTCACATCCCTGAGCTCAGAAAGAAGGGGTGGAGGGGAAGCAGGATTCTGGAGGACGCTGAGACCTCCTCCTGGACGGGCTTCTTCTGTCCTGGGTGGCAACTCAGGTCCCAGAGCCCAGGGAGGGCTCTGCACCCAGTGAACATTTAACAAATGCAAGCTTATCTGACAAGGTGCCCCTGAGAAAGCCCTACTGGCCAACACTTCTGCTCTCCTGCGCTATGAACTGCGGTGTTCAACATGCATGTTATAGATGTGAACCAGCTCTTGCTTAAGAGCAGGGGTGGGGTCGGGGTGGGGGTGGGCTTTTGGATCTGGGTTTACTGCAGGCTCTGCTGCTTTGCAGCTGAGGGAACTTGGGCCAGTTCCTTAAACGTCCTGAACAGCAGGGAGCCTCGTCTATAAAATGGGGATAAAAAATAGTTATGGTGTCACTGTGAGGACCAAGTAAGTAAATGAATGGGCAGTTCCCAGCACTGTGCCTGGCACCTGGTAAGTACTCAAAAAGGGTACCTTTATCCCTCTATATTTATAATTTCTTTCAAAAGGATGGCTCAGTGTCCAAGCCGGGGCTCAGAGAGGATCCTTCAACCCCTCAGCCTTGCCCAGACCCTGGGTCCTGGAGGCCGAGACACAGGCCAACCGGCCCATGTTATGGTCCACTCTCCATGAGGTCTCCACGAGGTCTCCAGCAGGGTCTTTCTAAAAACGGAATATAAAACATATCTTTCATACAACTTGAAGCTCTTCAGTGGATGCCACTGACCACGGGATAGGGGCAGGGCCTCTTGCAAGACAGAGGGTCCTCTGAGTCACAGAGGGCCTGGGTGAGGCCCGGAGCAGAGGCAAGTGTGCCAGCCCAGCTGAGGAGACTGCCCACCAGGGGGCCTGCATGGGTCAGGGTCCAGGGTTCAGTCCAGGTCTAGAGAAGACTCAGGAACAGAATGGAAACAGAGATTTGGGGCAAGGATTCCAGGACCTAAGGCCTGTGTGATGGCAGGACCCGAGAGTGACAGTTGATCCTGAGGTGAGGGGTGGGAATGGGGACCTCCCCCTGTCCCACCACTGTGTGGCCTCTTTGCTTCCTAGCACATGAGAAGAAGTGTGGCAGGTTCTGTGAGAGTCTCCATGGCTGGCGTGAGAAAGAAGCCCTCCCTGTGGGCAGTGAAGTGAAGATGCCTGGGTTGCAAGTCCCAGAAACTCCAATTCAAATGGGCTTGAAAAGTAGGGCTATTTGTTTTATCACAATTCTTGAAGTCCAGGGGGAAGGCAGGCTCCAGGTGGCTCGATGATGTTATCAAGGATGCGAGCTGTCCTTGTGTCTCAGCTCTGCCATCCTTGCCCTGGGCATCCTCTGAGGATGTCCACCAGGGCGGCCCCCTGCCCCAACCATGAAATATAAATCTTTCCCTTCAGCTTGACTGGGCAGTTTAGACCAGACCAATAACATGGTTTCCCTCTGGAGCTGAGTGATCCCAGAATAAACTTGAGACTGGACTGGAAGTGGGGCCAGGGAGGATTGTGGGTTGGGTAGGCAAGCAAGCCCTCAACATGTCCTGACTCATCCATGCCTCACACCAGCACCCAGGAAGCACTCCCAGGATTTAGGACTGTGACATCCTCTAGCTTCTGGTGAAGACCCATGACGACCTTGAGAGGTGGGCAAGGATCAGTCTACCTACTTGCCAGAAAAGGGCTCAGAGAGGTTAAGAAACTGACTCAAGGTCACACAGGTGGAGGAGCAGCAGGTCTTTGTTTCCCCTCCCTGCCCTCTCAGAGCTTGTTCATGGTCTAAATCCTATGGAGG